ACATGACTTGCTCTTAATTATATAACATTGGTATTCTTTTTATTATAGTTGTTATATCTATATTTGTCATATAACTGCCAAAAAATACGTATATGTATAACGTATATGTATATATGATGTACACATATGTGGCGACATATGTATATTTCTAAATCACATGTATACATATACGTATACATGCATGTATCTCTTTTTGTTAATATCAAAACACATGTATTTAACTGCAACATACATATTCAGCACTGCAAATGCGCGTATCCAAAACATTAAAATTAGAAATTTAATATAAAGAAATCATGGAAATTTGGAACAATTTTTTATAAACATTGAAAAATATGCAGGATGGTTTGAAAGATGTATATATATATATGCGTTGTTCATATTATTTTTCGTATATGATATATATATATATATATATACATATACATATATACGCGAAAAAATATATTTTTTCTATAAAATAATTGAATTAACAGTTTACAAATGTTCTAATTTAATTTCTTTCTCAAACATGGTCTATCTATCGTTAAAGAAATAATTATACCAAAGTATTACATTTTTTAGTTATTTGTTAACTATGTACATGCTGTGCTTGAAGTTCATCCTCATTGCTATCACCTCGTCTCACATACTGGGGTTTCTCGTGACCCTTTACACATTGTTCTGTTACATGAACCGACATAACATCACTTCCCGGTACTTCGAACATAGGATCCAAAAGTAACGACTCCATAATCGCGCGCAAACCTCGTGCTCCCGTCTTTCTTTCCATTGCCAAAGAAGCAATTGCGTTCAGGGCGTTGATATCGAATGTTAGCTCAACCTAAGGAGATTCAATATATTTAATATCGTTGGCAGACCTTTAATGGGAAAAGAGATAGGTAGATCATTAAACCTACCTTGTCCATTGAAAACAACATTTGAAATTGAGGAACGATAGCATTTTTTGGCTCAGTAAGAATTCTTACTAGCATGTCTCTGTCAAGTGTATGAAAAGGCACAAGCACGGGGAATCTGCCAACGAATTCTGGTATCATGCCGAAATCAATGAGATCTCTAGCCTCTACTTGTTGCAGTAACGTGTCCTTTTCTTTATTGTCTCTTTCAGTAGAGGGCGACATATTAGCAACGTCAGCTAAAGTTGCAGCTCGTCTACCTGGACTTTCGGATGCGGGTTTTGCGCCGAACCCGAGGTATTTTTCAGTTTTACGTCGTGAAATAAGCCTGTCTAGACCGTTGTAAGCTCCCGAGGCGACAAAAAGAATATTCGTTGTGTCCACCTGTAACGTCTCACCGCGAAGCTTTCTGGAGCTATTTCTCTCTGGTACATTCACAATCGTTCCTTCAAGCATCTTTAACATTCCCTGTTGCACCCCTTCCCCACCAACATCTCGCAACTGATGGATTCCAGGTACAGCTCCTATTTTGTCAACCTCATCCAGAAAAACAATCCCCATTTGAGCTCGATCTACTACGTAATTTGCGTCCTGAAGGAGCTTAGCTATAACACTTTCTATATCTTCGCCGACGTAACCAGCTTGTGTCAGAGTGGTGCAATCACAGATTGCAAACGGAACATCTAAACATTGCGCTATTGTCTGTGCGAGTAACGTTTTTCCACTGCCTGTAGGGCCGAGTAACAGTATGTTACTTTTCTCTAATTTCAATTGATGTTGCTTGCTATCCAAGATGTCCGATCCAGGGACAGACTGGCTGCCCGATGACTTATGCTCACTTCCTATGTTAACGTGTTGATATCCAACTCCCAATGGATTTCCGACACCCGAAATATGTAGTAAATCTGAAGACAGAAAAACGTTTTATAACAATCTCACGCAACATTATTTATCAACAGCACATCTGGCGAAGGGAGGGGGCAATTATGCAAATCACTATTTTCATCTACAGATTATATCGGTGATTTCAATCACTATAACTATATTTAAAATACATAAATAAATATGCATTACGTCATGACATTGAAACACTATATAACATTGTATCATTGGGAAGCAGCTATTTACGTGGTTTGAGACCTCTATGAGTGAAGGGATGATTTGTCTCCTGCGTACCAACTGCATGAGTATTGGTTTGTACCAAGTTTTGTATCGGTAAATTGTTATAAATTCGTTTATAGTGGTTATAAACGGCAACACTTAACACCTTCTTTGCATATTCCTGACCAACAACATGTTTGTTCAAATATTCGAATATCTGAAAATATTCATTTGTCATCATTATCACTATTTCTTCCTATTTGCTCTAGCTAAATTACTGATATTATGTAATTATTAATATTAACAAAAAATCACAGAGTTTCAGAATAATCAGTCACCTTTTTAGGAGGAGGTGGTGGTTTTCTATATCCTCCTTGCTTACTATCTTCTGGCCTCAGTGGTTCTTTTAAACTTCTCTTCGAATCAGTATCCGATAGGACAACGAAGAAATGATGACATTTCTCACACTTGACGAATCTTGTAGAGGCTGTATTGTATAAAGATGCTGTGTAAGATGCTATGTAAATTTTCATGAAAGCAATCCTGGCAAATCCGACAATTCTCTCTGCTACGGTAGAATATTGATTTAGCAGCATTTCACTTACATACAAATGTTTCTACATGTGTACAAGGATCTCCACACTTGGGACAGGTTAGTGTGCTTTTCTTTCCACCACCGCTAGTACCACCACTGGAAGATCCACCAGATATGGTATGTGTGTCCTTGGAAGGTGGTGTAGTATCAGTTGGGGTTTTTCCCAAGCTGCTGCTGGTTGTCAGAGTTCTCGTGGCCGCAATCCTCACAATTTTATATACTGCGCAGTTGGAAAAAATAATTTCTCGTTGCTTCATCACTCTTGTAGACGACATTTATAGCTACCATATTGTTATCAGAGATGACGCATAAGAATTATTCATAACACCATACCCACCATGATTGTTGACATGGTTAGAAGATGCCAAGCGACTCGCGCCAATCAAGCAGCAACGTACGCAACTCATCATCAGTGAATTTCGTGTGGCCGAGGTGGTGCAATATGGGAATAGTGGACTACCTTCGTCTCAAAAAATGCCCCGCGCACTCGGATCTGGAATCAGACGTGTATTTTCTCGCGTAATCATTCTCCGCTGCAAATCGCTGCGTACGTCTCTTTAAACCAACGAGCAATGGCTGCGTCTGCGTTTGCAAAAACTGCACACGATGGTGGCTGTGTTGATTGCGTGTCAAAACAAAAAGACAGATATGGTCGCGACACGGTATATCTTCTGCCCTTGGATACGACGAACGGTCACTCGGAAATTCGTGTCTACTCAGCGCGACTTCAGAACAGCTAGTTCGCGCGACTCGTCCTCCTGGTGGGTGCGAGGAAACGCGGGGGACCCACTGAACGACGGAACAGCGAGTAGGGTGCGACGAAGAACGATAGGACCTGCGTGACAGACAAAATTCCCGACATCGCGAGATGTTGGCACCGCGCGACTCGCGCAAGGATGCGCTCGGATGATAACACGAAACAAACAGATATCGCTCTCCGGGGGGAGCGATATCTGTTTGTTTCGTGTTATCATCCGAGCGCATCCTTGCGCGAGTCGCGCGGTGCCAACATCTCGCGATGTCGGGAATTTTGTCTGTCACGCAGGTCCTATCGTTCTTCGTCGCANACGTTTATGCGTTCGCGATATCAATGAGACTTGATTCGCGTTGACCGCCAAGATGGCTTGCCGAATTCATTCGCATCTCTTACCGAAATGTCATATATGACAAAATGTAATAAGACTCAATCGCGTGCAGCGAATAAAACAGTGACGCACCGCTCGAGATCCACGAGCATTCCGAATTTTAATAAAGTCAACAAATTGCAGATTTTTTGGCGCCATCTAATGGCGCCATTGCAAGGCCCATGAAACGCTCAATTTGAGTTTTATCCATTGAACTTTAATTTTGTTTTTTATTCCTGCATCGGTTTCATAAGCGTCAGTTTATAATAGGTATTTTAAGCCTTAAGCCTTAAGAAATTAATCAATCACAGTCGAATGTGAAAACAATAATTAGCTGTGATTGGTCAATTTCCTAAGGCTTAAAAACTTGTTGTGGACCGACACTAAGTCCTAGTCTACAAGAGATGCTTCAAGCCTTAAGAAATTGACCAATCATAATCGAATTATAGAAAAATTATCAATTATGATTGGTCCATTTCTAGGCTTAGAAGTTAAATCTCATTGTAAATCCCGTTTCACTCTCTCTCTAGATTCTCTCTGCACACCACGAGTGAGATTCCCGAACGCAACGGGTCTCTCCGATCGTCGTAAACACCCTATATTTCAACGGTCCTTCCGCCAACAATCGTTAGTTGGCGCTGTCTGTCCTGTCACGATATCGGCCTATAGGGAGACCGTTCTCGACCATTAAAGAAGAAGAAGAAGACACGCAGGTCTTTTCGCGTTGTGCTCGGTCGGTGGTGTGTGTGTGTGTAGCGGTGCGAGGCTCGGTGGGCCTAGTGTGTGGGGTTCTCGTTTTCGGATTCACTTAATTCCGAGACAAAATTAAATTCACAGAACCCGAATCAAAGTCGTCGGCGTTATGCTCGCTTAAGTAACGCGTAAGAAACGGTTAACGGGCGAAACGAATGTTTTTTATCGACACACCGTCATACGGAGTACCGTTCGCGCGAGAACTCGACGGCAAGCACTGGTCGCCGCACGAACGACGCTTCGATTCTCGTCGACCGATCTGACTGATTTTTGGGATCCGGTCACCGAAAACTTCCATCATTCCGTCAATAACCGTGTGCCGACCCGCAGGGTGGCGATCGTCCGATAAGGTGGGTATTTTCGATACCAATATCCGAGATTAGTGGAATCATTGCCCCGAACCACACTACCATGACCAGGTTCCGCGAATACGATCGTGTATGATAAATTTCCTCTCTAAACGGCGAGCACGCAGATATTTCTTCTTCCCGGAGGACAACATTTATTCGCACGCTGATCGGAGCTTGTTTGAAATAATCGGCTTCGTACCAAAGATCGGCTCGAAGTTTACCGATTAACGCATTTTCCCCGCTGGCCGATCATTTCGATATATATTCGCCGTTTTCGATCAACTTCGTAATTACTCCGTAATTACTCCGTTTCTTACTTCTGACTACGTGTAATTGTTTCCTATTTCTGACTACTTCTGCCCCGCGCACTCGATATCGAGTGTCACCGATGCACCGTAACGTTTCTACAGCAGTGTGTATGCATTTATAAAGGTTTGACTAATCGGCTTCGAGTGTATGAAATTCTAGAGAATCACTTAGCTATATTTCAAACAGCTTGTATCACATTTGCATTTCTTTTCACGGGAATTGTTACATTCGAGAATCTCGCACGTTCTCTCATTTTCGATATTTACATATGATGAATCGTGTGTTGTATGTTTAAATTGTAGAACTTGGCCTTTATTCTTTATTTACTTGATGATAAAGTGAGAATCGAATTTCCACAGCTTGTTCAAGACAGATTTCGCCGAACTGTGATGCATGTATGTCTGTCTGTCATAATATAGTTTTTATGTATATTTCATACATTCTTTTTATTACATGTATTCCTCCGGATAAACATTGATAGTCACTAAAAATACAACGTATACAACCGCTAACCTTGATGATAAGATGTATTGTTTTTCTTTTCTATTTCCTGACTCATTCTATTTCACGTATTTTAGTATCAATGTTTGTAGAATGGCCAATATTTTGCAGTCAATTTACTCATATCTTCGAACTTGTGCTATCTTGCTCAGACGAGTATTTCCTGTTCGAACCAGCAGAGTTATTGTTACATTATGTAAGAACACCGTTTCATGTATTGGAATCAAGGAGAAACACGAAATTTCAGTCTTAATTTAAAAGAGAACAAAAATTCACACACAACGTGATACGTGCGTTTTTGTGCATTGCATCGTTGAACCTTTTCTTCACTGCTTTTCATACTCCATTTCATACTTTAGGAACGCATATTTGTAACATGGCGTCAAATATTATCTTTACTTCCTCGTAAGAATTTACTTGTTATTTTTAGCTGTGTATACTTTATCAGTGTGATTTATGTTGATCTCTGATATAGTACGCTTGATTGATGTCGCGAGAACTAGAAATGCGTTATTTCCCAACCCCCAGTAAAGCGTTATTCAGCAGCGAACTCTGTATCGCCTCCCCCCCCACTTGAAATCACAGTACTATGAACCATGTTTCTTGGTGGTTGACAGATAAGACATCTTGTACGATGCAGGCGTGGAACCACGCAAAGACTGGCTGATATTACTTATCTTCCTTGTATAAGTACTGGCCTAAATAGTTGCCTCAGACTCAGTATCGTCCTGAATTCCCACCAGGCCGTACCTTATCATCGTCACGAAGCGTTCACGCTTATAGTTCGTTAATTAAATTGCTTCAGTAATTCGTGAAACATTTGTATTTTACAATTATCGCACGTATGAGACGTACCGGCAACTAGGATTTTCAAAATCATTCATAATCTCCAAGTAGTTGTGGTATTTGTTGTATGTGTTGTATAGATAAAGAAACGAGAATTATTCTCCAACGTCAGGTAAGAAATCAAATTGTGTTTTATCAAGCTGTCAATTCTACTAATTTTTCCTAAATTATTAGTGACAATTACCTGGACAATGCACGAAAAGACGATGTTAAATTTAGATATGATTAGTTCGAGACATGACTGTAATATACACTATGACAGAGAAAATCTTAGTATATTTACTCTGAATGCAGTGACAAATAATGATTGGATGTATAAAAAAGAATAATTGAAAAGAATATTCTCTCACATTTACTTGACCAAAGTAACATTAGTTTCAGACAAAAGACTTTCAGATCAGATCTTACTTGCTCTGATAAAAAATATGATAAGATAAACAGTCTGATGATATTCATGGTAAAAATACTTATAAAATACTTATTATGCTAATTTATTTAATACATTATTTAAATACGTTACAATTTGTAAGGGATCTTTCTCTTTCTTGTTAGTAAAATATTCTATACTTTAGAAATTATACTTTCGATTACATGCATACATCTCTTTCTTACATGCGCATTGTACTTATATTTATACTCATTTACAAACCAGTGCAATTTCTACAGCTTGTAAAAGACAGATATAGATTTCACCGAACTGTGACGCATATGTGTGTGAGTGTGTATGATTTCACGATATAGTTTTTATTTATATTTGATACATGTTTTTTATTATATGTATTCCTCCGGGTAAACATTGATAGTCACCCAATTAGATCATATACAACGTATACAACCGCTAATCTTGATGATAAGACGTGTTCCTTTATATTTCTTTTTTATTTTTTCATTCATTTTACTCCACGGATTTTAGCATCAATGTTTGTAGAATGGCCAATACTTTGCAGTCAATTTACTCATTAAAATCCCGAAAGCAATTTTCGCATAGAATTAGTAGATGAAGAAGTAGAATAGCATCGCAGTTGGATAAGGTAAACTTGCCATGTTTAACGGTATTTGTTCAAATTGTGTTTTTCCTTCTTTTGCAGGGTTCTATCTGCGCTAGGCTGGTAGGTCAGTCTGCTGGTGGGTGCTTGAATAACTGCGGCAACTGGAAGTTGGCCCTGAACGCAGAGCCCCCGTGGCTTTGCTAGCACCCCCACATTGATCTTGTCTTAACTCGCTTCCCCACGACTCACCCAATTCTCATTGACAGCTGCCTCGTACGTTACTTTTTTCTTTGTTATGCTAAATTTATCTTCGTTTATAACACACACAGTAGATAATTATTGTCAGGCTTTCGAATTGCTATAAAAGTCTTTTATTTTAGGTTTTTTTTAGAGTTGTCATGCAATCTCTTGAAAATTATACAAGAATTCGACGAATTACAGTCGCTTCGAAGATTCTTTATGAACCAAAAATTCCTCGTAGTTTCGAGTGTTTACATATTGACAACGTAAATTTAACACGCGTAGATATAGGGTTTATTTTCGAATGAAAGATAGAACCCTCGATCAAAGAAAAATGTTCCTTAAAGAAAAGAATTTTTGACGTCGGATGCTTATTTTTCCATCTTGTTTCGTTTATTGTTTGTATCGTTCCTAATCATTGGACTTTCAGTTTGCTGCCTAGCACCTACAGAGTACCGGTTAATTCATCAAAATCATTCAATATGAAGGATACACATTTAAATGAACGCATCCACGTATTAGACAACGAATCCAACGTTATGACCGTCATCAAAGACATTGCAATGAGTGGTTTACAAGAAGAACCTTTTTACGTGTTGGATATAGGAGATATCGTACGAAAACATCAAATTTGGAAAGAAAAATTGCCACGAGTTGAGCCCTATTATGGTGAATGAATAACGTTCGAAACTATGCATGTGTAATGGTGTATGATTATTTACATCAATTTCTTTCGTAATTCCAGCTGTGAAATGTAACGACAATTTAATCGTAATTGAGGTATTAGCAGCTCTTGGTATCGGTTTTGATTGTGCGTCCAAGGTGAATACAATAATTTTTCCTGTTCTTTTAATCTGTTTTTATTTAGCGACAAATACGTCTCTTTTAAATACAAGTTTTATCTCGTCAACGTGTGACAATTGGGTCAAAGTATTTTGTTTCATCGAAAGGTTATTGTTTATATAACATCTTTTTACTTCATAGGGTGAAATAAATAAAGTTTTGAGTGTCGGGGTGGATTCTTCGAGAATTATTTTTGCTAATCCGGCCAAACCAGCTTCACATATTCGTCACGCTGCTGCAATGAGGGTGGAAACCATGACAGTAGACAATGAAAACGAACTGCACAAAATAAAGAAATTGTTTCCAACGGCCAAGGTAACATATCGTTGTATCTCCGCAATTTGTTCGTCATGATCACTCGGTCGTAATAGTAAATATTTTTTTCATTGCAGATTGTTTTGCGAATTCGCTGCGACGCGGAGGTGGCCCAATGCCCGCTCGGTATGAAGTTCGGTTGCGATCCATTAGACGAGGCTCCTGCTCTTTTACATCTTGCACGTGTGCTGGGCCTCAACGTGGTGGGCATCAGCTTCCACGTTGGATCTGGATGTCAAGATCCTCCGGTGTATTATCGTGCTATCCGACATTCCAAAATTTTGTTCGATAAGGCTATCGATTTGGGTTTCAAACCTTATCTGTTGGACATAGGCGGTGGTTATCCAGGTAACAAAGGCACAAGCATCGATAAAATGGCAGATACCATCAACCAAGCGCTCGACGAATATTTCAATAGTAAGTTACACTGGGCTGTTTCGTTGCGATCGGACGTATTTTGCGCTTGGAACTGTAACTTATAAGGGAAATATTCTTCAGCCGATGCTGTTCATGTGATCGCCGAACCGGGCCGTTTCTACGTCGCGTCTGCATTCACACTGGCAACATGCATTCACAGTAAACGTACCGTGCGCGGAGACGATAGTTCTTCTGGTGCTATTGCGCATAATATGTATTATATCAACGATGGTGTCTACGGATCGTTCAATTGTCTATTGTATGATCACCAACACGTAACTCCTCTTCCTCTCAAGGTAAGCTACTTTTATCCGAGGAAAATGGTCGAGTATCGATCAAATATTTTTCTCATGCTTTCTTAAGGGGATGTTATATTTGATAATTTTGTTGGCAAAATATCGACTTTTTTCTACAAAATTTACGTCGCATTGATTGTACAATATTATAAATGCTCTCTTACACAGTGAAAGAGTACGTGCGAAAATGAATTGGAGTATATTTCACTATGTGGCGAAAACAATTGAAAATTTCAAAAATGACATCTCATCGTAAATATTTACTTGTTACAAAAATCCTGCAGCTTGTACACATCGAATGTGCCAATGTTGTAATCAGAAACATTTCAAAGAACATTTTTACATCATATCAATTAAATTTAGAAGCCTAAAAGATACCAGGGGGTATACTGCCTAGAAAAATCTGGGATTCTCAGGGAATTTGCTTATGTTTGGAAATACCAGAAAATTCGTAGGAAATTTTATTAGAAATCAGGGAATTTTAAATGGACATTGTCTGCAATTATCACGTTGTTTATAAACAAATATTACGTAATTGATTGAATTTTATTTAATATTTACTTCTTTAAGAATCAGAAAAAAATAGTTTAGAATTTTTCGACTTGATTTTTAATTAATTTTAATTAATAAAGGAATGGTATTACATAAATTATAGGCGTGAATTTATTAATTCTTAGGGTATTTTTTCGGTTTTAAATAGACACCCTGGTTACGAAAAAGTTGTAGGAAAATGTCTATATATCTTGATTACATTTCCTATTAAACATGGTAAAGTAAAATAGTGCACATTCATCGCATACATATTGATATCACTTTTTTATTTACTTAAGATTTTTATGTATAAGAAATACAAAAAAAGTAGCATGATTGTGTCAGTTTTTATGTAACATAACATTTTAAAGAATTATCTCTATGCCTGCGTTTATCAGAGAAAGTAGCTCAATGAGCGTTTAATGATTATTGTCTGTGATTGGAGCATTCTTCTAGATCTTTGATAAATCCAGAAAAATGTAAAAATCAGGAGTAATAAACATAAAATGTTGAATTATTTTTTCTATTGAACGCAGCTTATGTTATCATTATGCTTATTAAGTTCGTCATCGATTTGATATTCTCTTAAAGTTTTTGTTTCTTCGCTGCAGTTATCTTAATTAATGAAGCGTCAGAAACAAGAAAACATGCCCAAAATTCTTGCAGAATACGTTGAGATAAATATATATATATATATATCCATAAAATGGCAATTGCAGTCGATCGAGCAAATCTGTAAAATATTCCGAAAATTTTACTTTTACTCTATCCTTTCTCGTGATTTTCTTATATTAATTTTACGGCCACGTTCAGCAGAACGTTTAATTTGCAACTGTTGGAAGTTATCTGAGTTGAGATGAGATTATTCTTTTAGATCTACTAATAATCCAATCTCAGCACCGGAAACTTCTAACAGTTGCAAACTAAACGTTCTGTTGAACGCGGCCATTGATTGTTAGAGCAAAATTATAGTTTTTGTACTATTTTATAGATCTTATATCGATTGACTGTAATTGTCATTTTATAGATGTCTTTTTTATTTCAACATATTTCGTAAGAAGTCTGAATATATTTTTTCTCACTTTTGACATCATCAAATAAGACGTAACGTGGTCAGGAATAATAATATTTAATAATAATCTTAATAATAATATTTATTAACGGGAGAAGAAGTTCTTTAGTGTACATAATTAAGGAAAGATTGTAAATGACAGACAAATTTCAATCAGTTTAGGGGGAAATAAAAAGTGTAGCATAAAAATACACAGAAAAATAAACAAGCACTTATGGCTCCAGGTCTCTCGTTACAGTCGTCTTGTTTGATGAAGTCAGAAACGAAAAAAACGTATTCTTAATGTCTTCTTGCGGAATACATTGAAATGAAGAGATATATCCATGAAATAACACTTGCGATTGATTCTCCATAATTGTAAAATATTCTAGAAACTCTCTTCTTTTGCTCTAACAATCAATAAATAAGCATAAAATTAACATAACATGCAATTTTTCTTTTTAGCCAATCTTTTTTCATGATTCTACCACGTTTGATGGTTACGTAATCGTTAAAGTGGAAGGAAAGTTTTCGGAATATCTTACAATCGATCGCAAGTATCATTTTGTGAATATGTCTTTTTATTCCGATGCAATTTGCTAGAATTTTGGGCACGCTTCCGACGTCATTAATCAAGACGACTGCGGCGAAGGAACGGAAGCCTGAAATAAACAAAGAAAAATAGCAAAATAATTTCTTCAATCACAAATATCGCGTCTATCGTTAGGATGGTTGTGGAAAGTTAATTCCATCGAGCATCTGGGGTCCGACATGCGACGGATTAGACCAAGTTGTCGAGAATATCTTGTTATACGAAATGGAACTTGGCGATTGGGTCCTTTTTGAAAACATGGGTGCCTACACATTGCCCGTTGCTTCGCCGTTTAATGGATTCCCAGTGCCTAAGGTGCACGTTGTTGCTGATGAAAGCATCTGGTGAGAGAGCTCGCTTGTTGTTCAATGCGGGATACTCTTATGCGTTTTATCGTTACATCTTTCTTTCTTTCTTCTCATGAAAAGTCAACTGATTTTATCTAGGCGTTTCTCGTAGGCTTTTATTGAAGGATGTTCTACCATTGACCGAAGATCACTTTGTCATTGGTAATACTCCGACTAACTTGCGACTTGGTTTGGACATCGGAGGAAACGATATCGACCCATGGATGGACGCTGATCAACAAATGAACTTAGCACCGCCTGAAATATTAGCAGACGCTCCTAGTACTCCATCACCTTTTATCTTCGATTATGTCGAGGTGGATCCGCTGAATTAATCTTGTCCAACATCGATGATTATTTTACAAGTAATTTGAAATTTATTTACATTTCCCATCTTTGCAACTCATAAATTGCGATAAATTTGGTCTACTTTCCTCTTTTTCTCCCTTCGATTTGATAATTTGATAAATGATAAGTATACAAAGGTTCAAACGGCATAATTTTATATAGGGTGTCTCGGACTCGAGTGTATCTTCATGCACGTGTGCAGGTAGAACTCGTTAAACTAAGTAGAAAAGTTGATTTTGCTAATTACCGCGAAAAAACTATCGAGATATTATTAATTAAGGAAATATGGCCTGAATATAAGGAATGAATGCCTGTAATGCGATCAACTTTATAGATAGCCTGAAGAGTGTCTTCGGCATGTTGACTAGCAATGTTTTCTTAGCAATGATGAATATCGGCTAGCAGCGAACGACGTAGTGGTGCGTTAAGTCTTGAGCACAAAGCCTGTTGTAACTATATATATTCAAGCTGAGTCATAAACGTTTACAAGAGTCACAAGTTAACGCATAATTGATCGAATAAATATATTTATCGCATTGTTTACGTTTACATTAATCATTATACAATGATTTGGGACTTCGACACACGTTTAATCCATATCTGTAATAGGTGCAGTAAGCCTTTACCTTTTTGCTGAAAGGATTAAATTGCGTAGCATAATTTCTAGTAAAAAACGTTACCAGATCAGACGTCGCAATTTTTAAGTTTTAAGCTTTACTGCAACGTTCGGTAGCGCGGGAGACGTCTTTTGTCAGAAATTACGTTATATTTTATTGCTTGGATTAAAAGGTTTGTAAATCCGGACTTAAGACTGTCGGAAATGCTTACGATAGATTTTGTATTCAAGCTCTTACACGTATGATCTTGAGGCTGCTCGCCTGTATTTGTCGCTAAGAGATCAGGAATTAAATCTAAAATGTATCTTTTCAAAACTTGAGACTGCTCTGCAGAGCTCGCCCCTGATTGCATGAGGTCGCAGCATTGCGTACATTGTTTTGCCAATTGTCTTTAATTAATATCTTAAAAATTATCGCGGTTATTTTGCGAAATGAAGCAGGACTTTTCAGTTTGACGAGTTCTATCCGCGCCCGAGTGAATTGTTAGACTCAAGACTTAAATCTATGCATCCTGTATAGTTCCTCTCTTTTATAAATTTCCTTTTTCTCATTTCTTTCGAGATCATCTGGACGAAGAGCGTATCTAAATACGCCGATTTTTAATTTTGATGTACGTTTTTTATATAATTTGTTTTGTATGAACAATGCTTGACATTTTTGCTTGTTTTTTGTGAAAATTAATTTTGAGTATTGTATAGAAGTTGCAGTTAAATAGACCGTTAAGAGTGGCCCCTCCGACATTATTAGCGAAGAAATTACCTCTCGCATTATTAATATTCGTGATTGTCGATGTTTTTCCCATTGCATGAGATACACAGATTGCAGAAATATCACGGTAGATATTTAATCACATATTTCTCCGTGCATACGTTATCTGTGTAATAGGACGTATTGTAGCTTCTACATTTGTAGATATAGAAATCGATATTTCAGAGAGAGGAACTATTTGTTAATTTTTCGTGGAGAAAATTTTTTACAATTTGCACATTAAACGTAGAACAAGAGCTATCATTTGTTCTGATATGAATTATATACACGTAAAATATACAAACGTTATATTTGATTGGAAAACTTTGTTACTCTCTCTCGATATCTTACAAAAGAACATATTGATCATAAGTAATGATGATTTATAAACATGCTTTTATTTAGTAATGTATTTTGGATATATACGAGATGAAAGGGAATAATTTCTTAAAAGTTTTGGGCATTACTCGAGGCAAGTTAATCTTTTTCTTCTAATTGGTATTTTAAGGTGTAAGGAAGGAAACAAAAGACTTCGTTAAAACATTAAGATGACACGTACAACATATGTACTCTATATATTATAAGAAACAAATGTATCCCGAAATTTTTTTGCTATATGCGAGCGAACATACAAACTCTGTAGAATTGCTAGGAACTTTACGGCATTGAGGCAGCTGTCACAAGATTCAAAGGCAATTGATAATTTCTTATTATTATTCTGATTGTATTATATATGTCTATTATATTATTATTCTTATTACACTATTACATTATATTATTAATACTATCATTTAATGATTAATCGGTTAATAAATGTAATGAAATATATAAGATCTTAGTATGAGTAATTTCCAGATACTTGACACCACAATGTAAGTAAGAACAGTAAGTTCGTTCAATGGCGGTACTTTTCATCTGAATGCTATACAATCGCCATGTTATGGGTTGTGCGCAGGCTTTAATTTGAATGACAATAAAAGCCGACTAAATGACTATAGATCTCTATGGCTGCGTTTTAATATTTGCTGTCAGTACTGAAAATCTGTTTGTTATATAAACTATAGATTTTCAATAATGTCAGTGAATATCAGAATGCACCTTTTGTGTGTGTCTAATTGTGAAATTATTTCAAAATTTATCGCGAGAAGAATTAATCAAACATCAAATATGGCTTTCAATAAAAATATAATTTTAAGAATTACGTGCAGCCAACTTCGAGAGGGAATGATCACAGATTTGCTTACAGAGGCGGATAAAGCAGATCAACCGCGAATAACGTATTTATGGCAGCTTTGCAGTGGTTAGAGTAAAAGTATCGTAATGGTAGAGTGTGACCTTTCCATAATCCTTACCGAAGTCAGTTTCATCGTGGCGCGTGTAACAAAACGTGATTTCCATTTCGCGATATAAATCCACGTACGGTGGAATGAAACCCGGAGGAAAATATGAATGTATAATATCATCAACATAACGAAAGTTTATTAAGCTGCTTTTTCTGCGGCCAGTAACTCTAGAAATTTACAATCATGATGACGTGAAAAGCAAGGCAATCATCTCAAATACAATGGATTAAAGCTCTTGACTACTCAGCCAAGAACTCCGCGTTAACACGTTGGCGACGCAATTCAGAACAATAAAAGGATGAGCTAATAGAGTGCGCATCTAGCAAACGTTATAAATGTTTCGAAGTGTTTCTTCTTCCTCGTCCATATTTTAGATCCGAACAAGAGAAGAAAAGGAAAGAGAACTTATTATTATCTTGCATTCACAATATGAATTCTTACTATATTTGACTAATTTTGTAACGTGAACGATCACCTGGGGTCGTTTTGTGCTCCAATGAGTTTTTATAAATTTATACTATGGATAAGACGAATCACGGTCAATTCTTGTTGCACAAGCTAGGTTTTTTAAATGTCCAAATGAAAGGTAAGATATTGATTCCCGATCAGTAAAAAAAAACTCATTATGACGTGAGCTTCATTTTCTGGCCGCTGGAATATAAAATGACCCCAGATAACTATTCCTGAATGAAAACATTTGTAGTTGAAGTATAAGAAAGTCTGATTGGAGCAACCAGATATCCGTCACTTAATTGTACCGTTGCAGCAACCACATAATTAGTTGTTCTATATTTTACTATTAAATCTGGTTGGCACTATCTGATTTCTGTATAGACCAACTAAACTGTTTTTTCCGTGTGCGAAGAAATTTGATTTGATTCCGTCCACTGGTGTACAAGTTTGGTGTATATCAATGTACTATTCCAGACAACTTAATGTCAGAAATCAAGATATCTGAGAGACGTCTTAAATATATCTTTAAGACGTCTTATGTTCTGATTTTAAATGTTACGTTGCCCGAAATTTAATCCCGTTTCTGTGCCATTGATTTCTTACAAAACAGCGGCTAATAGATAACATAAGGTAATATCCTGCTTGTTTAATGGCCCGAGTTTGAAAAAAAAATTTCTCGTTTGGAGGAAATATTAAGAACAAACGATAATTAAAAACAATTTTTTTAACACTCTCTATATTTGTGAAACGAGGCCTTTAAAACCATATGTTCATATGTATATTTTTCTTCATAAGATTACCTCAAATATCAACTCCTGAATTATTGGACAATAATACTTAATACCCAGACAGCACAGTGTCCAAAGTCGAGACATAAGACGGCTTTTAGACGTCTTATATCACGACATCTTAAATACGACTTCAAGACGACTAAAAGACGTCTCATATCCCGATTTTGGACATTTGTACTGTGTAGTATCCTGTATATACAGTGAAAACCCGGAGCGTGAGGGGGAGATTTCATTTTGAATGACAGTTAATTACTTATCCCCCAAAGACGGACAGATCGCTTCCTTTTTTTTCTTGCAACTGTCGTTATCCGGTCTTGTGCAGAACGTCGCAAGGTTAAGGAAACTGTGAATCCTGCATTGTGAATCCTTATTTATGTACGTACGTATACATTATTTACGCCACGTCGCGAAATCACAATCAGAGATTTCAACCAAGGTTTTGGACAGTGCACACGCGGTGTAGGCGAGCAAATAGGCAAGTAAGTAGGCAGGCAGGCAGGCAAGCAAGTAGACAGGCAAGCAGGCAGGCAGTCATGGTTCCCGTTATGTATTGTGAAAGGTAGAGACTGCAGCTTTATTAGTAATGCGCTGCCTAACCGGATGGTTACACAACAATTACTAATCTCGCTAAATATAAAATTATTGTTTACACGTGGGGCCGTCAAAATGTTTTCGTCCGAGTTTTTCGGCAAATCTTATCTCGAGTAACGAATAAATAAAAAACGAGTTCAGAAACTTACCAAACGATAAACAACGAACGCACTTTTATGAGAAAATTAATTTATTCGTTAATGAATGAAATAAATCTTTTATCACCCACACTCATGCGCCGGGATTTATTCTCGAACGAACGTTTATGGCTTATTCATTTATTGAACCGTAGCGCGAGTGTATATACTTTTTACAATTTCTCGTGATTCCCTTGAAAACGGAAAGTTTCCGCTTGCAAAAGAAGCTACTGGTTTGTTTAATTAGCATATTTTTCGCAAATGATAATGCGAGCGCGTAAAAACGACTTCGGCGCGATTCGGGAGAATTGCGTTCCCCGCGGTTGCTTCTCCGGTCTCCGGTGCACAGTGAAATCTTTTTACGAAATTTCGTGACTCGCGCGGTTCGATCAATATTGCGAGATCGCATTAGAAATTTTGTTTCTCCAGGGATCGTAAAAACCCCGCTTCCGGGTTTCGTTACCGAAATTCACCGGCAGCTGACGTGAGAGCAACGAGACGCGAGAAATCGCTGGTGCGACGCTTCGCGATGAATAAT